CGAGCGGCGAAGGAAGGAGGGATCGCCGGGCTGGGCAGGGGGGCCGGGGGGGGGAGGCGGCGGCGGCGGCGGCGGCTCGGGCGCCGGGGCGGCCGGCGGAGGGGACGACCTCGGGGCGAACGACGAGCTGATCCCCTTCCAAGACGAGGGGGGCGAGGAGCAGGAGCCGAGCAGCGACAGTGCCTCGGCGCAGCGGGACCTGGACGAGGTCAAGTCGTCCCTGGTCAACGAGTCGGAGAACCAGAGCAGCAGCTCGGACTCGGAGGTAAGGAGGCTCCCGGGGCCGACCCCGGGGGACCCCGGCCCCGCGCCCGCTCACCCGCCCTCGCCTTTGTGTCTCCTCCGCAGGCGGAGAGGCGCCCGCAGCCCGCCCGGGACGCCTTCCAGAAGCCGCGGGACTATTTCGCCGAAGGTACGTGCGGGTCTGGGCAGCCCCCACGCGCGGGCCCCGCTGCGCCCAGCGCCTCCGCTCAGGCCGCCCACGGTTCCCCTCGCCCCGTGGCCGTGCCCCTGCTCTCCGTCCCCCGCGGCCACAGCCGTCCTGGAGCGCGGTCCCCTCCCCGGGTCCCCTGCTGCTACGCTGTCCCGGCGGCCCGGGCCTCACCCCCGCCTCGGTCTCACCCGCAGTGAGAAGGCCCCAGGACGGCGCGTTCTTTAAGGGCCCCCCGTACCCTGGGTACCCGTTCCTGATGATCCCGGACTTGAGCAGTCCGTACCTCTCCAACGGACCCCTGTCCCCGGGAGGAGCGCGCACGGTGAGTGAGGGTCGGGCCGCGCCGGGGCGGGTGGGGGGCCGGGCCGGCGGGATGCGCCCCCGGGCTCGGCGACGGGGTGGGGGATGGGGCCGTCTCGGGAGGATCCTGGGCAGAACGAGTTTGCGGAGTTGAACTATTCTGTGGCTGCCGAGCGTTAGGCTGCGCTGGCCAGTGCTTGCAGGAAAGTAAAGTTCCTTTAAAATTTACCCTTCTACTGGGGAAGAGGCTTTGGGGTCCATTTCTGGGGGTCTTCCCTGGCCTCCAAAATTCTTTGCTGGTAGTAAAGGAGAACTTGGATTTGTGCCCGCTTTTGGACGGGGGTGGGGGGGGGTGTCTCGCTTTCCTTCCTGGAAATCCGTCAGCTTCCCCTGGCAGTTGGGCAGTGGGCTGGGGGAGCTGGCTTGGCGACGTTGCCCCCGACTCCAGTTTCACTGGGCTGCTGCGAGTTCGTTCCTAAGAAACCCAGTATTCGTGGCGGATTATTCACACCCCCCTCCCTACCCCCAGCCGTCGAGCGGGGGCCTCAACTGTTCTGTGGAGCTTGGGATTTTAAACTCGCCTAGATGATTTCGAGGGTGACCCGAGGCATTCTTCAAGTTGAGGAACTTGGCTTTTTCCCCCTTTGTTGCCGGCTTTTCTCATTTAAAGCGAGCGCTGCGACACTTTAAACCTGTTAATGGGCGCGCATTGTGTGCTGCGCGCTGGCATTTAGAGCCGTGATTAAGCAAATTGACCGGGCCCCAGACGACGTGCAAATGAGGGCGGATTCCATCGCCCCCTCCCTGGCCCTAAACTCGCGCCCCCCGCGTCGCGAGGGGAGCAGCCCTGGGCAGGCAAGGCCTTTGTGTCCCCCGAGCCGCCGCCACCTCACCCCACCCCAGGGCCAGCTGCTCAGGTGCTAGGTCCGATAGCAGATCTTCGGTGAGCACCTACCTACTGAGACTGTGACTGTTGTCGGACTCTTGCGCGCCGCCGTCCCTTGGGTCCCACGAGCACCGTAGTGGTTCTCTTTGCTTGCCAGTGCACGCCAGTTCGTTCTTTTTTCGGGGGCGGGAGGTGTTGGCGCCTCAGGAGCAGGCCTGACAAACTCACTTTATGCTTAAGCTGTCCTTAAATAATGGTCATAATTAAAGGGCCGCCTGAGAAACGCTCTGTACTGAATGGGCGCTCCCTACTGTCATGGTACAGGGTCGATGGAGAGTGGAGGCGCTCTCCTGGCCGGAAGGGATGTGAGAGTGGAGGTGGGGGGCTCTGACCTGGGGAGAGGGGCGTGGGACCACACACCTTCATCTTTCTAGCCGGGAAAGCCCCGCAGCTTTGTCCCTTCTTTGGAGCACCCCGGGAAGTCCTGAATATAAGCTGGATATGGGCGTCTGACTGGTGCCTTTTCTCATTCATATTGAAAGTGGGTAAAGTAAAAAGTTGAGCAAAACAAGCTGCAGCGACTTTGTTTAGGTGTTCACTGATTCTCTTCCTTGTGCACCGATGTAGCTGAGTTCTAAAAGGGTTTTGGAAGCTCAGGTTTGCTAGGGTTCCTGTAACAAAGCCCCATTTTTCCATTTACCATTAGATGTCTAGAGAGAGGAGTCTGGGAGGCATTAACGGCTGTGAGTTAGCACTGATCCAGGTCCTGGTGCAGATCAAGTCACCAGAAGTGTCCCAAATATGACCAGTTTTTCCCTCAAGCAGGCTGTTCCTTCCACCTACCCGTTTCTCTTTGGGGTGCTTTGACTCTTCCTCTTTGAAGGAGAACTCTGACAACTGCCTGTCTTCATCTGTTGCTCCCCCCACCCCCACCCCAAAGCCTCAGGGGGACTGGTTTTCTGTTTGTGTCGGTTCCCGTCTTTCCACCATCTTCTACTGCCCTTCTTTCCTTCTTCCATCTTACATGTTCTTTTGCCTCAGAACTTCCACAGGCTGATTTCTTGCTGGTCCTGGGGATTCCTGACTACTAAATCCAGGCCTGCGTGGGAATTTTGGAGCCCTCCTTGGAGAAGCCAACCTTCTCCTCTGCATGTCTGACTGTCCCTGCTCATTCCTGCAGCTGTTCACTGCCCTGGCCCATGTCACCATCCTTCTTTTAAGCCTCCAGGGACACTCAAGTCCCTGTTGTCGACCTTTCCTAAAGATCTTAGTGTATCCTGTCCCACTCTCCTATATAATAACCTGGTCTCCCTGGTGAACTTCCCGTATAGAAGTAAGTTCAATCTCCCTGTAGTTTCTGTGCCCCTTCTGTGCCTTTAATTGTGTTAGGCCTGCCTGGTTCAAAAGTTTATTGATATACTGGGGGAGTTTCCTGCAGTTAGCTGAGCTCAACAGAACCTGCTAATTTTGACCCTATCCTTGAACATCATGGGCTTTTCAGAAAGCAAGTGAGGAAACACTTAAGCACTTGATTGTCTGGACTATAGGGTCAAGATGATGCTTTTCCTGTGGATGATTATATGAACCTAATTAATGTGATTTTCACGGTAGGCAAACTATAGGTGCAGACCAAGTGGTCCTCTTTTGGGGTCCAAGCCTGGTAAAATGAATGTACATAGATAAGGGGTAGAAGAGGGGAGAGGGAGGTAACTGAAGCTGGACGCAGAGGGGTGCCTGGAATATATGATCTGCTCTCCCTTTTGGCATCCTGGGTCTTTTTTTGTTTTACTACTAGATTTCACAACCTTAGGCGTTGCTACTCTAAAGCCTCTAAGTAGTACAAAACTGGGTGACTTCAGTTCTCTGCTGTTCTCACACTTTCTGGAAATACCAAGCCACAAGCAAAAGTAGGGGTTGGCTGGAGGTTTTCAGGGTGTTAATTGGCCCTAGGAATAGCAAGCAAGAGGGCTGCTGCACCCTCATGCACTGGCATAATTCCTGCTGGGATGACTGGGGGCTGGCCAGTCCCGCAGTTGGGACTTGTCTTCCCCATGCGTTACCTTTGCCCTCCACTCTGGTTTGGCTGGGAGGCTGGGAAGTGGCCTCTTCCTGAGGCTCTTTAGAGAAGAGGTCCCCTTAGCCTGGGGTGTGTGCCAAGCCTCCAAGCCATGATTCATTCTCCTCTGGAGCCCTGGGGACCCTGTGGCCTATGAAGAGATGAATAACTGCCACAAACCGTCTTTCACTCCCTCCAAAAGCCACCCTGAAATGACACATTCATTCATGAAAAGGCTTCACAAGTTTACTAAACCACCTTGGTGCTGTTGACTAGTTTTTTTGTTAGGAAAATGTAAGCCAACACAGAGGAAAGTGGATGTCAAAAATAGTGTAAGACTGGGGCGCCTGGGTGGCTCACTGGGTTAAGCATTCGACTTCAGCTCAGGTCATGACCTCTTGGTTCGTGGGTTCGAGCCCCGCGTCGGGCTTTGTGCTGACAGCTCAGAGCCTGGAGCCTGCTTCAGATTCTGTGTCTCCCTCTCTCTCTCAAAAATAAATAGGGGCGCCTGGGTGGCACAGTCGGTTAAGCGTCCGACTTCAACCAGGTCACGATCTCACGGTCCGTGAGTTCGAGCCCCGCGTCGGGCTCTGGGCTGATGGCTCAGAGCCTGGAGCCTGTTTCCGATTCTGTGTCTCCCTCTCTCTCTGCCCCTCCCCCGTTCATGCTCTGTCTCTCTCTGTCCCAAAAATAAATAAAAACGTTGAAAAAAAAATAAATGTTAAAGAGTTATAAAAAAAAATAGTGTAAGACTAATAAGAGCCAAAAAGAAAATGTTGAATGTGGTTCGGTGACTTAGCTATGAAATGGTAGAGGGTAGTTTCACCGCGACGTGTGCTAATGGCATTTTGGAAAAGAACACTTCTGGGTAGAGTTGTCAAGGGAGTCTATGGCTTGGGGTTCCAGTTCATTAATTTAAGAAGCACTGTCATGCAGTTCAAGCATCGCATTGCTGGCACCTTTCTTGGAGACCATCTCGACTCAGGCTTCTGTATGAAGTTGTTCTGTTCTCCAAACGTGTGCATGTTTTTCAGTCCTTCCTATCCTGTCGCTTCCCATGGGAGGTCTTGCAAGTATCCTGGATGCTCGTTTTCTGCCCGACATGAAGGAACCCAAGCAGAAATCTATGTGTACAGATAGAGAAGTTGTCTGTCTTTAGAAGCTGTATGTAAAAGCTGATAAGTAAATCTTTTTCTTCTGGAAGATCAGTATAAACATGCTGCTTTTGGTAAAATTCTTTAAAGCCATTTCATCTAAATATAACTTCTGTTCCATGTTTTTCTAAATATAACTCAGGGTTTAATGAGGGTTTTTTTTACATGGAATGAGCTTTTGCAAGGGCCATGCCTGTGTGGCGGAACTTTTGGCACTTGGATTGCTGGGACAAATGAGGAGCAGTTCGGTGGAGGGGACTTGAACCCTGTCAGTCTTTTTTCTTTGAGTAGGTGGATCTGGCAGGGTTACCTGACTTGCTTTACTGTTGGAAAGTTATAGGCTGGTCTCATTCTTCATCGATCTCACTTCTTGGGATTCTTGAGGAGAAAGTAGGCTGGTACACTAACAAAAAGTAACCTTTAACATAGTGTTCCTGCCTTTATAGTGATGTGCAAAGTTACAAAACTGTGACCTAAAAAATGACATAATGATTGACTCACTGGAAGATGCAATAATCCAAATATATATAATGCAGATATCCTACTTATATTCCAATTTATTTATTTTTTAAAAATGTTTCATTTATGTATTTGAGAGCAAGAAAGAGAGGGAGCGTGTGTGCACATGTGAGTCAGGGTAGGGCGGAGAGAGAAGGAGGGAGAGGGAATCCCAAGCGGGCTCCATGCTGTCAGCGCAGAGCCCGACACAGGGCTTGAACCCATGAACCCACGAACTGTGAGATCATGACCTGAGCCGAAACCAAGAATTGGATGCTTAACCAACTGAGTCACCCAGTTGTCCAATATAGTCATTCCAATTTAGAGTCAACTTTACTTGCCAAACTGGGGAAATTTAGATTGGCATTCTTAAGATTCATTCATAATTATTCAATTTCATCTGATATTTACTGAGGACCTATCATGGC